ATTAGACTGTGTTGACTAGCTTTCTCTCTTTTAAACGGTAATTATTACACTCAAACTTTCGGTGTCGCTAGGGGTTCCCCTCTCTCCCCTGTTCTTGCCAATTTCTTACATGGAATATTTCGAAACTACTGTTCTTCCTTCTATTGATACTCGTCCCTCTCTCTGGCTTCGCTATGTTGATGACATTTTTGCTTTATGGCCTCATGACAATCTTTTCCAGCCTTTCCTCGCCTCTCTTAACAATCTGGCTCCTTCTATCCATTTCAAAGTTGAGTGGGAATCTAATTCCCTCCTTCCTTTTCTTGACGTTCACGTTCACAGCTCTGTGTCCAGGTTCTCTTTCTCTGTCTACCGTAAACCCCTGCATAGTGGCATGTACATTCACTTCTTTTCCTACCATCCTCCTTCTGTTAAGAAAAGTGTCCTCGTCTCTCTCTTCCTCCGCACTCTACACCTCAGCGACCCTCAGTTTCTAGATTCTGAAATTGCCTTTATCTACAAATCATTCTCTCGCCTTGGTTACCCTTTGCATTTCATCAACTGTGCCTACTCAAGCAAAACGCAATTTCTTTTATCCTAAACCTGCTTCCAACACTAGTAGCACTGTACTATGCCTTCCCTTCATATCTGAACTCAAAACATTACCAATACCTTTCGTCCTCTTGACAAAGCTCGCCTTTCGACAAACTAACACACTTCGTAGCAATCTAGTTCACACTGCTGCTCCTGCTTCTAATGCTGCTGGTGTCTACTCTATTTCCTGTTCGTCTTGTCCTCTCCAATACTTTGGCGAAACTGGCCGTACACTGAATGACAGACTTAAAGAACACAAGAGAAGTGTAAAGTCTGCAAACACTAACAATGCTCTCTACTGTCATGTGAGGGATTCTAATCATCCTATTGATTGGTCTTCCTCCAAAATAATCTTTCCTGCCTCTACTCTACACAGACGCCGTCTTGTTGAATCGGCTCTAATACACAATGTACCAAACATGAACTTGAGTCCTGGCTTTGTTGCTATGAACTCTTCCCTTTCACAGTATATACTTAAATGCTCTAATTTTTCTAACAAACGTGACCTAAGCTTGGAAGCTTGCCCTTCCATTTATCTTTCTTTCTTTCCTTATCTTTCTGTTGTTCTGTTCTTTTTCTTCTTTACGTTCCCTTACTATCCTCCTCTTATTCCTATTACTATCTCCTCATTCGGTGGTTATAATAGGAGCTGCCTCGTATGGGCCAATAGGCCCTCTGCAGTTCTTATTCCTACTACTATCTCCTCTACTACACTTTGCACCTCACCTCTCTCTAGCCTATTTATTGCCTGCATCTACTTCCTCTTCACCCCACCTCCGTCTCCATCTGAAGCCTGGAACTTTGCTTTAGCAAACTGGGACCGATTTCAAAACCTCATTTCTGAGGGCATAGACACTATGATCTTCCCGAAGACAATCAGGCAGAACAAGAATTTGTCAAAGCGATTCAAAGTGCAGCCAACCACTCAATCCCACTGAAAAAAACAGTCCACCGGACACCATAAAGATCATTGGTACTATTGCAAACGTGTCAAAGAACTCAACCATAGACAACAGAACAAGAAAGCTATACAAAAAGCAGCCAAGTGACCGCAACAGGACCTTACTTTGTGAGGTCAAGGAACACGTGCATCGAGAGACCAGACAAATAAAAGAACAAAAGTGGCTGGAATGGTGTTCACACCTGAATGAACACACCTCTCAGATGTGGCAGCAAATTCACCGAGCCAAAGGGAATAAAACACCTAAAGCTCCACACCCCAAGGATCCTCAACAGGAAGCCGAAGTACTGGCAACTAGGTTTGCAGAGAGAGCAGCCAGCAATCAACTTCCACCAGATGTATTAGCAGTACAGATCGGACTAGAGGAAGAAAGGTGGCACAGAATCCTTACAGCATGTGAAGAAGTCTGACACTATTGCCCCCTTCACACTGGATGAGCTCAATCGGGCTAAGAAAAACTCCAAGGATACATCCCCTGGAGCCGACAAAATAACCTATAAAATTATTAGAAACCTCGGCCCAGAGGGAGACGCTGCATACCTAAGGTTAATTAATTTAGCCCGGACTTCTCAAACTAGACCTTCTGCTTGGAACAGAGCAGACAGTGCCGATCCCAAAACCCAAAGATCCAGCTAATCCCAGGCCCATCTCTCTCCAAAGCTGTGCATCCAAGACGGCCGACAGAATGGCACTCAACAGACTGGAGTGGAAAATGCCTAAACTGCATCATATGTATGCCTATAGAAGAAGGGTTGGCACAGTGGAATGTATTACAACTTTGTTAGCCCACTTGAATGACAAACCAGGAATGCTGATATTCCTGGACCTCAAAAAAGCCTTTGAACTGGCTAGCGCCCCAGCTATTCTCTGCTGCCTCATTGACAAAGAGGTCAGAGGCAACCTGCTCTCCAGGACCAAAAACTGTCTCCTAAACAGAGAAGCAAGAGTAAAACTTCATGGCACTGAGTACAAAAGACATGAAAATGATACACTGCAAGGAGGTATTCTCAGCCCTCTTCTCCAACTGTTTTAATAGAAATAATAAGGTTGAAACTTCCACATCACTGCAGGCTGCTAAACTACGTGGACGACTTTGTCATCATAAAAGGAAGGGATGTGGCGCGCCTTGCACCCAATTGCTTAGACTACATCAGTAAAGAGGCAAAACAGATTGGGATCAAACTCAAAGGCCATGTAAAAATAGCGAAGCCCAACATCCAACTCACAGTACAGGGTCAACCAATTGAATGGGTGGACACCTATCAGTATCTAGGAATAATCCTGGACACATGAATTTTAATGCTGAGGTCACTTGAGAGAGCGAACTGCGGCCTGGACGGCAATCCTCAGGTCGCTAACCTCCCTCTCTGGAGGAGCCAATCTGCAAGTCCTTTGCATATACTATGTACAGGCAGTCAGATCAGTGATCGATTATGCTGCACCTGCACTCGCAAATCTATCACACCAACAGTGGAAAAAGCTTGAAGTTGCCCAAAACAATGCTATGAGAGCCGCACTGGGAGCCCCCATGTGGACCAGGCTTGAAACTAAGACTGAAGACAGGTTTGCCCCCTCTACAAGAAAATATCACAAAGGACAGCTACAATTATCAATAAGATAATTATTTCTTCTGATCCAATCCCAGTACGGCAGGCCTTGGTGGTTGGACTAGGCCAAAACAATGGAAACTTTTGGCCTACAAGAGCAGGAAAAGTCCTAAACAGACTACATTTAAAAAGCATGATTCTTGATAGAGAGGTTGATCATCCACACCCAAATTACACTCCTTCCGCACCATGGGAAGAGCCTACTTTCAAAATAGTAATAGAAAGTCTCCCAGTGAAAAAGGCCGTCTATGATCTGACAATCCTAAGGCACATAATAGAAGAGCAAATGTATAGCACAGCAGTAGCCACCCACATCTTCACAGACGGATCGGTGGACACAATATGAGTGCTGGCGCTGCTCTTTGCACGGCCAGCGTACAGGCAGATTGGAGACTGGGAGGACTAGTATCATCAACCCAAACTGAGCCGTTTGCCATACAACAGGCATTCGCATATGTGATTGCACAAAACACTCAAAATGCAATCATACACACACTCAAAAGCTGCACTTCAAATACTATGACAAAAACAGTGGAAAGATAATGTGGAAATGGAGCAGTCACTAAAGGCAAAGGACTCAACATAACCTTAAACTGGATCCCATCCCATGTTGGAATCCCATTAAATGAGAAAGCTGATAAAATTGCTAAATTGGCAACTCGTCATCCAGTGATACATAAAACAATTCAACCCAGCCTAGAGAACATAAACATCACCAAAAAACTCTCACATCTCAACAAAGCCGACCTACACCAGAGAATAGCTGAAGGTTCGCCATCTACAACATGGTATCTTCAGGCAACCAAATTAGAAAGGTTAAATATCCCAAAAGGAATCCACAGGGAAATAGCAGTTAGGTTATATAGACTACGTCTAGGTTACAGATGCAACTGGGAGATTGGTGAACCCCAACAGAGAGTGCATCTTCTACCAAACTGTCACAGAAAAGCCATTACTTCACTATCTTCTGGAATGTGAAGCAACCAACGACCTTAGAAGAACTTTAGAGTTCCTGAATCTTGCAGTGGCCACCCTGAAGCCATCAACACAGCCACTCTCCTGGTCAACAAAGGTGTCCAGCAGCTGGACACCCTCAAAGATTGAAGCAGTATCCTCCCCCACGATAACAGCTTGATTAAATGCAACCTCAGAATACTGAAAAGAATTACTGAAAAAATAATTGTACCACTTACGGGTTATTCATGCCCGTGCCACCTCTTGGGTGGCTTAATCTTTATCAATCAATCTTCCTCTTCACAATCTACTCGAGAATGGTCCAGGACGGACCGAAACGTCGTCGTCCCTTCACCTTCTAGTGTGTGGTGTGGTCTGGTCAACTTTAAAGCCTCATCACTGCTATGGATTTTCTCTGATACATCACATTGTTATTACTCTGTTTACAAGGTATTACCAAAATGGGATTTCCCAGCCATGTACAAATTCCAAGAATTAATGGAATGAATTATTATCTATAACATTCCTTTAAAATAAACTCAATTTAATTCTACTTTTATGACAATTATCTTCAGGTACATACTATTACTTAAAACTATTTATGGCATTACTAGCCAAGTTCTCATGGTATTCAAAACAACTTCATAATCTTCAAATTGTACCTAATGAACTAGTTTTGGATTTGTGTGGGGTTGCAAACAGCTGCATGTAACAGCCTAGTTGATGAGGCCACCAACCTAGAGACCTGGTAAAAGATCAGGCCATGGGGAAGTTGATCCCCAGAACCACCACAAGGTATCCATCAGGCTGACGTAGTTACAGCTACAGTACTGCACTGCATTAACAACAATGTGTGCTTTAGATATTTCACAAGTTTCGGATCTCTAGCAATAAAACTACGACACTGGAGTTAAAATCTTTATTGCTCAACAGAACAATTTGTTAAAATCCACTTTCCAAGATGGACCCCCAATTTATTTTTTAAGTTATTCTGCCACCCAGCGAGTCAGATGCTACTTAGGCAACTAGGTAATACAATCAGCAGCCATGCCAAGTATATACGAGGTTTTGGCTTGACGTCATGAATCGAGCTAAATGACCACGTATGCATCAGTGACACGCTGGGCAGCAGGTGCTCGGTCGATTGCACGAAATATAATTTCTCCATAAAAGACTATTTACATTAAATCAAACCAAGGAATTGCAACAGGACTACTGTAGTTAAGTTCTCTACGTACTGCACACAGCAGGATTAATTACAGTTACACAAAATTACACAATAATAACCATTAACAATCTTGAAAATTTTTAATACACTCCGTTTGGTCACAAAACGGAAATTACGATACAGTACATCAGTACTACGACATTACCAGTGTTGCCTCAAGGAGCAGGAACAGTAATGCACCATTTTACACCTTCACAACAATAACAATTTACAACAACTTTATATAGCACAAATTATAATTTAATAAAAAAAAACCACTGTTCCTTGAGTAGGTATTTAAAGTCCAGCCCCGGCTGGTGGAGTGAAGTTACTAGTCCTTCATCAACTCGAAGTGGACTAGACCAAGACGATCCTGTCGATCGTGCTTTATATTCTTGGCCCATGCACGACATTCTATGTTGATGAGAACATAGGCTGCAAGGAAAGCATTTTAATTGAGAAAATGATCTAAATTTTATTTGGTTGTTTTAGAAGCACATGCACAGTATCCCATCACCAGCAATACAAATGCCACTATTAGGTGCAACATGTATTCATAAATACTTTTCAACAAAATTGGGAGTTGATGCTGGGCTAATGTATGCCTCAGGTTTTGAGATCTATTCCCTTTTGGAATGTTGCAACTGATGCACCCATTGTACTGAACTGGTAAGGGTGTTCTCCCTTCCTAAAGCTTATTACAATACTTTAACAACACATTTTAAATTGTTCACCATTTGTCTCCATTCCTGACAACCTGTCCCAATGGTCCTGTAGCATCATTGTGTATCCCTCACTAGGTCTTAACCTTTTAACAAGTAAGGCATCTAAACATTCACATGTACAATACTAACTACTCTGAAACATCATCAAGAAATAGGAAACGGTGGTGGTTAAAACAAAGCTTTGCAGAATCCCATACAGAACCATCATATCATCCGATTACAGTAAGGAAAAATATGGAATATAAAATACCCTAGGAAATGAACAGATCCACAAGGGCCGTGATGAGGGTTCAAATCTACGTTCGGGATGATCCCAGACGCGCCGTAGTCGATTGTGCCACGACATGGTAAAAGAATTTCAACCGGGAGTGCTATTGCCCTCATACTCTCCGTGGCAGTCTCCGTGGTGTAGTGGTAAGACACTCGCCTGGCGTTCCGCGAGCGCTATGTCATGGGTTCGTATCCTGGCCGGGGAGGATTTACTGGGCGCAATTCCTTAACTGTAGCCTCTGTTTAACGCAACAGTAAAATGTGTACTTGGATGAAAAAACGATTCTTCACGGCAGGGGATCGTATTCCAGGGACCTGCCCGAAACGCTACGCGTACTAGTGGCTGTACAAGAATGTAACAACTTGTATATATCTCAATACGGACCCCGCAGCCTCTCTTAGACAAACCGGGGTTTTACACAACTCCCCCATGCACCCAGGCTCTCTCAAGCTGTTCGCCCTTACTTCAATACACAGAAATCACAATAGCGCAATACATAAAATGAACAAATCCACAAGGGCCGTAATGAGGGTTCAAACCTCCCGGTTGAAATTCTTTTACCATGTCGTGGCACAAGCGACTAAGGCGCGTCTGGGATCACCCCGGACGTAGGTTCGAACCCTCATCACGGTCCTTGAGGATTTGTTCATTTGATGTATCATGCCATTGTGATATCTGTATACCCTAGCCTAGGAAAGTTACTGATAGCCTTTTAATATACAACTACAAACCATAGGAAGCAAGAAAACTGGTTTAAGATATAACTTGCTACAAAGTGGATTATTAGGTCTGAAGCAGCAACATGTGGCTATAGTATCTTGAGGTTATCTTGAGATGATTTCGGGGCTTTAGTGTCCCCGCGGCCCGGTCCTCGACCAGGCCTCCACCCCCAGGAAGCAGCCCGTGACAGCTGACTAACTCCCAGGTACCTATTTACTGCTAGGTAACAGGGGCATTTAGGGTGAAAGAAACTTTGCCCATTTGTTTCTGCCTCGTGCGGGAATCGAACCCGCGCCACAGAATTACGAGTCCTGCGCGCTATCCACCAGGCTACGAGGCCCCTAGGAAAAGGAAGACTAGGTATAAAAGAAATGAGATGCAAAATAATCAAGAGGCAAACTTGCAATCAAAGCTTTTGTACAGCCACATACCTAAAGAGGGACTCACTAAGAGGATGTAGCTTCACAATGACTAGGATGGTTAAAGACTAGTACAAATAACCTAGTAGTAATGTACTAAAGTTCAGGAACTGGGTAGGAAGAAAGCTTTTGGCTCGGACTCAATCTTGCCGTGAATTTTTACAGTATTATGCTAGGCAGCGAGTTTTCCCCCTTTGCAGCAAACTTTAATTCCACAATGCAAATTAACAAATTATCATATATGGAAATTGCTAATGTGATCACCCTTGTACAAAAAAACTAATGTCACTAAACTAGACCAATGTCAAAGTTCTTTGCCTTTAATGCATTGGAAGAACTGAAGTGTTTGAGCATGAAATTGGTAGGCTTACCATTCCTTTACTGGCAGGAAATGTTTATACTGCCCCACATGAAATACTAATGCAACTTTGAGAAAGGTGGTGTAGTTTGGAGTATCCTGGGATTTGTCACCACCTGTCTAGCAATAAACGGATTAACATAACTGTGGTGAGAGATCACACACACACACACACACACACACACAAGGTGCAGTGGAAATCAATGCTGTGATCCATTATGATGTTTAAATTTGTGGAATTCAAAAACTAAGTTATGACTGATGCAACTACTAATGCAATGATGGAAGTAAAGATGGCTACTTGGCTAATGCCCATCATAAAAGCAATAAGGATGAGAGCACAAAAGATGATCCAGGAACATTACAGACAAGAGTAGATGGCTCCTACAGACCAATATAACTAATGTAATTAAACACGGCACCTGTGCAATAACGCCAAAATATCCTATGACAAATTTATTAAAGTTTGACTAGACTTCAGAAAACTACACAGCTTAAATCAGATCAACCCTCAAGTCTCAATGTCAAAGATCAAGAACTTAACAATTACAGAAGTATGGAACAACAACCGAGGGGATTGTAAAAGCAGAAAGTTGAAGCCAAGTCTTGCAATGTTGGAAGAAAAACTGGAGATGCATGTATTGAGGGGAAATCTATAGTGGAAAAAGTTAATGAACATTAGAAACCGAATATGGACATGGGAGAATGATCAAGATCAGTTAAGACTAATGTCAAAAACATTTAAGGAGTGGAATCGCCTGTATGCGATTTTTTTTTAGGTCAATTAGCAACTCCAAAAAGTAAGAACACAAACATTAGGAATGAAAGCCTCAGCACTTGCCATGAACTGTAAACAAGCATATGCAGCAAATGCTCCAAATACATTAAGAAATAATTCAGAAAATACACAGCATGCATCAGACTAACCCTAAAATATGCAGCACCTCCAATGAATACTTTAAGGCCAAAATATATTGGGTTTCACAAAGTCCATATATCTGGTATTAGGATAGTATCAGTGACAAAGTTAAGCTATAACTGTGCCAAGCAACACTGTCTTCCAGATATGGCAGAATGAGAGGCCATGTGGAACAATACTAGTCAGACTTAGCAATAACTATTTAGTGTACAGGTATGGTAACTATCAGGAGAAAGTGCTAAGCCATTACAACTGTATGGCACTTGGAAGGGATAAGAATACAAGGATTTGACACAGGACAGAGGAAAGGAGTGGTGCCCAACCACTTTGATGGGGAATTTAACGCCAACCTGCAAGAAATGTGACCATCCGGGCGCAAGTGGTTGGACAGCCACTTAGTGTAGAGGGTTGTTACTACCCTAAGGTTGTCCTACCTCATCACACAAGTTTAACCACCTTGCACTATACTCCTTCCATTCATACTATACATATTAATTTTAGTCTAACTGGGCTGTAACCAAGCAATCCCTTTTAATTTTTTACAGGTATCCTCTATGTAGCTTTTATTTTAAATGCAGCCAATTGTAAAGCAAAAGACTAAGATACCTACAGCTACAGATTGGAAAACTGTTCCCAATAATAAAAAACAATAAATTTTTGTACAAAATCATGAAAAATTTACTTTTAAATTTGACTGTGCACCATTAATAACTAGCAACTATCCGCACTAAAATGTGAAAATGCCATATTCTTCACCAAACATTGACCAAAACCCCCAACAATACTTACAAGCTGGAGCGTTAAACTGGACTGCAACTATCGGCGAGAGGTAGCCTGGATTGTGCATGTAGGGGAAGTAGTAGGCAGGGAACCCTTGCCAGGGAGAGTAAGTGATGGGTCCTATGTACTCCTGGTCGGCAGGATTCTCTCCCTCGCACGACACCCAGATCATCTGACCGGTGCAAGAGGGAAACATTAGTCCAATGTTTAATGAGCAACAACGTTTAATGAGAATTGTTCAATAAGATTTGTTTCCTAACACTGAAATAAATTCAGATGCTAATTCTGTGACTGACATTACTGTATTACATTTTATCCACCTGAAGTACACAAACTAATATATAAAATACTGAAGTTTCCAGCAACAAGCATGGTTTAGATTTATTTCCTTATTTGCTCAAGTTTATGAGCCTGTCTAATTGACATTAAGATTTTAATTAGAGAAAAATGCCCACAATTTGTGCAGTCTACCTTTACAATAATTGGCAATTAAAAATATTCCATACTATGCCATATGTATAAATGGCTTTATACTTTTAGAATTTAGTTTTATAAAGATTTCTGTAAAAAGTACATCAAGACAAATGGGAATAAGGATACCGAAGTAATTCGACAAAAGCCATACCCTCGGAATTTTGCCCTGGTTCTCTTCCATGCTCGTCTTAATGTGATCTTTCAGCGACTGTGGCATCGCATCGGGTAATTCATCCAGCTTCTCGTAAACTTCTGGTACCCACTTGATCATCTGCAAAATTTTAACAAGCACATTAAATAGTTCAAGAAGCCTGCCATCAAGTAAAATTCTGACTAGTACTAATGATTACACACTTTACAATTCCTTTAGACACCATACATCCTTTGGTAACTGTCCTTGACCGAGCGAATGGTGTACTACCATCAATATTTTCAAGAATGAAAAATAATTACAAATTACATTAGAACAAATGTGTTATCCAGTGAAAGCTAGAGCGGGGGAGCATGCCAACGTACCGTGCCACAGGAGTTGTTGCTTAAGGCTAACATACTGTATATCCTATTCACAGTCCATTATTTGTAATTCTGGTCATCGGTTTGCTATACCCGAGACATTTTACAGATTTGTTAAACAGGAAAAATATATTACATTAAGATAACGTATGTACAATTAGTTCTTAACGAGTGATAGTCACCTTATTGAGCTTCAGAAGAATACAGGGGGATTCACGCATATAGCCCCAGCTCTCTCCCTTCTGACATCTATCAGTAAGCCAAGTGTCCTGGAACTTGCATACTTCTCCTTCCTTTGGTGGGTTATCTTCAGAACAGTCTGTTATGTGCTGGCCAGAGATCTGATCGCTTGTCCCTTCATAAGCTAAGGGGTGGTTAAATAGTTATTGCAGAAGCTGTTAAAAAAAGAAAGACTATTGCACATGTTAACATTGTTGCATTTTTAAAGACGTTCAGTAACTTACGCTTGATGAATCGGTTAAGAGAGTCTACCCAATGCTTAATGTTGTCATTATCACCATTCTTGTACCAAATTAACGTCGATTCTACGTTTTCATGACGCGGCAGTGGACGGAAACCCATAGCTGAAAAAAGGTACTTTTTAAATCGCTTGTTACACAATTTTATGAACAAGTTAAATCAAGGAAGGTGGAAGCCTTATTCACAAATAAGGGAGCAAGTTGTCATAACACTAAGCTAGTACTGTTTAGCTGTAATGTATAGAAATAATGAAAAAAAATAAATCATTTATTCTGAACCCACGAATCCTCAATTTAGCATCTGAATACTTTTGATACGAGAACAGTTTTCAGGATTTTTTGTTTAACCACTGAACTGCACAGCGTGCCTGCAAGTGCTTGACAGGGTGTGAGCAACGCACCTCCGGGATCTTTTAAGTATAGCATATGATTCAAAACTCCCACGGCTACATGGGGTTCACATCAGCTTCTTCAGGGCTCTTTTAAACAGACGCCATTTTTTTTTTTTTTAAATCGTGGACCACATTCCCAGGCGTGAGAGCCTCAGTACTACGTGAGCAACTAAGGCTGGCGCACACAGCACGAGCTCACAGCACTGCTGTTCAGCTTGTGACCACAGCATTGCCTAATAATTTCAAAATATATATGTAACTGGTATTAGCCATGATAGTATTACAGAAGGGTCTGAGTGTGATAATGACCGATTCACTGATATTTGAACATTGTACAATGCTGTTCACGATATTCACAGCAATATTTCGTCCATCTAGGAATCTTCAAACAACTTCTTATGCTCCTTTACAAAATAAACTTGGTCAATTATTCATTTACAGAATTTAGTGACCAGAATTGTGATACAGTAGCAGATTGTGGTGATAATTAGTGCTAGGTGTAGTATTGTGGGAGGAGGAAGTTTGGTGAGGGAATCGAGGAAGCATCACTGTGTGGCAGCCACTTCTTTTGTTCACAATACTAGCTTAGTGGTTTGCTATGGTGAACACACATGTGCATGGGTATATGCAATGTGTGTATATAGTGTAATAAAAGGAGTATGTTGAGAGGAGCCATTTTGACGAGGGAGGTGGTGTCGTACCCGTAGCATCATCAGCTGGCTGCTGTGTGATTTGTCAAAGTGTATGGTGACCACTGTGCTGCTTGGACAATACCAGCTTAGTTGAATAGTTATGGTAGATACATGCGTAGATACAGCAGTCTCCGTGGTGTAGTGGTAAGACACTCGCCTGGCGTTCCGCGAGCGCTATGTCATGGGTTCGTATCCTGGCCGGGGAGGATTTACTGGGCGCAATTCCTTAACTGTAGCCTCTGTTTAACGCAACAGTAAAATGTGTACTTGGATGAAAAAACGATTCTTCGCGGCAGGGGATTGTATTCCAGGGACCTGCCCGAAACGCTACGCATACTAGTGGCTGTACAAGAATGTAACAACTCTCATATATATCTCAAAAATAAAAAATATACAAAATGTGTGTTAATAGTGTGTAAATAGTGTGTAAATAATAAAAACAGTATGGTGGGAGGAGGAATGTTGGCGAGTAAGATAGATGTTAGAGGAGTGAGGGAGGGAGGGCTGGTTGGGTGTGGCAGCTCACACTCGCAGACTTCTGAGTGTGTTGATGGTGAATGTACAGTGCGAGATAATGTATAGTGTGTAAATTTGTTAATTAATATACATAAATGAACATGAAACATTGGATATATGAGCAATATATGTGGACACATTTGTGATGCATGTAACACTGTCTTGAGACAGTACGGATGTTCTACCGCCATAATATTGAGTACGTGTTCATTATACAGTACATAGGATTGATAAGAAAAAACAAAAACGTATTTGGAAATGTATGCAAAAAAGAGAAAATATATATTTGTGGCAACTCACGCATGTTGAAGCTGGCGCGCGACTACCTTCGGGAGTCTACGTCATGGACAACCAAATCGTGATGTCACACGCCATTTTCCGGACCCCATTGTCGGAAAACCCGACACCATTTTCTAATATTAATGCAATATGCAGAAAATATTGCTGCTGTTGTATACACAAGTTAACCCATAGAAAATGTAGCTTTTAGTGGAATTTTCCGTCAATAGAAAACAGGATATCATTGCCACATAGTACTATAAATTCACCAGCTATTCTGTTGGGAATTATTCTTAAATACAGTAGTCTTTGGACTTATTACATCATAAAAACATTCATTTGAATTAACTTAATTATTAGTATTATAATAAAGTAAATGTGACTTCTATCAGTTACTGACATCTGGACAAGGAGAGCAAGGCATCAGTGGTGGAGAGAGGTCAGCCATTGTAAAGACCAGAGTCGTTGGAGCAAGTTCCGCTTCTATAATTCTCTTGGACAAAGTGTTATGGAGATCAAATTAGTGCTCTACCATCAACACGCAGTCAACCACAAGGAAAGTGTCTTTCCAAAATCTTATCCAAGTCATTATTGGCCAGTAATGTTATGTTAGATAGGATTATTTCCGGTTAGAACACGAACGATCGACTCAACATGTAATTAAGCCTTGGTCCTTATATAATATAGTGTTTTCTCCGATATAGCTGTCATACATTTGGATTCCGGCTTTACAGCTAGTGCCCTTTGACAGGAACAAGAGGAAGCAAGAATTAATCTTGGTACATCAGTTACTTGGGTGATGGAAGCTAGCCTCTCACGAGGATAATTTGGTGTCTACATCCCAGTTATACCTGGTGGACTAAGCCTACCATACAATAAGATTTCAATTTCAATTTCATAAGATAAGGCACCTCCTCAAATTTATTCACTAATATATGTAGTTTAATACTGTAGTTTGATTGGCTGCATATATATAAATTTAATATAAACCCCCTAATGTGTAAGGATCGATTTGCAAGAAATATTGCAGAAATACAGTCCACTTAACATCATACAAATTGCTATCGAAATACAATAGGGGCCTCAACTTACGATGCTAATCCATTCCCAGAGACGGATCGTAAGTCGAAGCAATTTTTCCCATAAGAAATAAAGGGAATTGAATTAATCCGTTCCCCACCCTCCAAAATATTAACATACACATACATTTTATACTGAATACAATTTTTTCTAACTACAATACAGTACCTAAGTTTATCTTACCTTTATGGAGGGCTCTTGATGGCGTATGGAAGATGGTGATGAGTGGGGAGAAGGAGAGTTGTTACCGTTTAGAAGGGGAGTCTCCTTCCATTATCACATCAGGCAGTGGTGATTTCTCTGGGGTGTACTCTCCTATGTTTTGCCTGAATACCACTAGGCCCTGGATGTGGTTCAGTGCTTGTTTGTCTCACTACAAATTTGCCAAGAGACATTTGTTTTTCCCTTCATTTGTCTGTAATGATGCATCACTTTTGCACCCATAATGTCCTTTTTCTTAGCCAGTATGGTGGATATCGTTGACTGAGATTTATTGTACTGCCTAGCCAGTTCAACAACCCGCACACCATCTTCATATTTACGAATGATCTCGTTTCTGCTCTATGGTCATTTTTACATGGGATCTCATGTTGAGCCTTACCAATGACTTTCCTGGGACTCATGGTGTTATACATAATTACTTTAATGTTCAAAACGCAAAAAATCACCAAACGCGGAATTTCTTATAGGCGCGATCGTTACTAAGCGGGCAGCTGTAGTAAACAGTCAGGTCGGACCGCTTGACCGGGAACCATGCACTCTGTCGACCCAAACGTGTACCAACAAATATCGTATGTCGACGACACCATCGGTTTTTAGTTTTAGTTTAGTTTGAGTTTTTAGTTTTAACTTAATTACAACAAAAAGACATTCATAATTTGTAATGTTTTTATAAATTATCAAAAAACAGCTAAGAATATAGCAATAAGCGAGAACCTTTTGATAGCTGGGAAACTATTGAGAATAGTTTCAAAATAAAACAATCCATTCCATCAAGGAGCCACAAAGTTCAAGCAGTTTTTTCTAATTGTATGCAATGGCAATGATCAACCAGGCTGAGACTCATACGTCAGGCTGCGAGCAGCAGTGTCCAACAGCCTGGTTGATCAGTCCAGCAACCAAGAGGCCTGGTCGACGACCGGGCCGCAGGGACGCTAAGCCCCGGAAGCACCTCAAGGTATGGCTGAAACATTAAGATTGCTCTACAAGACACGTGTCATCATACTTCAAGCTTACATTTATATATTCAGTACTCAAATTGACAAGTCAAAGAATTGTGGAGTGTTCAACACTGCTTAAAGAATGATACCTTTAGAAATATTTCAATTTGGTCCAACAGCCTGTTTGGAGTAGCCAGCAGGTCCAGTACAACCCAGTTAGTAACTCCTTGCATGAACCAAATATTCTCTTGGACCCCTTCCATTTTTGTTTGGGGAACATTTGTTACACTTGTTGGAAGCATATTGAATAGCCATGGACCTTTTGAAGTACAGTGTTTTCCAATTGTGTTTATTGTACCTCTACTTTTTACTGGCCCTATTCTGCATTTCCTACCTCCTCTTTTGCCCCCAGTATGTTACCATATTAGTGTGCAAATTCGGGACCGTGTCTTTCAGTATCTTCCATGTGCATATTATGTGATGCCGCCTCTTTCTAGGGAGCACATTTTGAGAGCTCAGAGACGGTCCCAATAATTAAGGCACTTTATAGTGATCCATGCCATGTATGTTCTGTATTCCCTCTACAGTATTTCAGAAATCTCCTGTTTTGAGAGGAGTACAGAACAGTGTTTTAGGCAGTGTGATGGGATCCCTGGATTTGAAGGTTCTCAATCCATCCTATCACTTTCCTGGGCAATTCAATATTTGCTTTCTTATGCTCACTAAATGTTAGGTCATCTGACATTCACAGATCCTTTACACATTTTTCTTCTGCGAACAAGCCTGAATGGTCCCCAGGACTATAAAGCTGTGAAATGTTTTTACATCAATACCCGACACTAGTGATACAATGTAGTGGTGCAATGACTGCCTTGAGGTACATCTCTCTTCAGTGTTGGGACTTTGTTTTAACATACATACGCATTCTGAATATAAATTATCATGCAAGGTTACCACACTTTGGTTCTTGATTGAACAATGTATGACACCAGCTTAAAACTATGCCCAAGTTTTCAATTCCTGTAAACAATTCCCTTCGCCTCCTAAACACACTGACATCTCACCTGGGTTTCGAAGAAGGGATCCTCCACCACCGGGGGTGTACTTGGGAAGATGGTTGGTGTCTAACGTTTGGTAGAACACCGCCATCATAATGGCGAAGAAGCCAGCCAGGCATGCGTAGAAAATTACGTAGAACACGCCAATCTTAACTGGAAGATAAAAACAAAATTTGTAAGTATTTAGCTAACAATGGTGTTTCAGTAGATATACAGTACTTAACTGAGCAAAATTATGAACCAAGGAAGTGGTAAAAAAGTAAAAAGCTCTACTTATGAATTCTTGAAAGCAAGGACAGATGTCTAGTCTATATAAATAAAAATGGAAATGTTCGTTTGTTCAAAATCAGTAATCTCCAAAAGTTCTTCACCGATTGCTTTGAAATTTTCACACAATGTTCCATTCGCATACAAGCAGGTTTTTATATACATATTATATGGCTGTCACGTCTGAAGGAAAAAAACATGTTTTCTTAAAAAACTGTTTTTCATGTGTTTTTCATGTGAGAAATCTTCAAAACCTCTACCGATTGCTCTGAAATTTTGACACGTTGCATTCGAATAGGCGTGTATTTCTATACTGTACCTACTATATACATGCCTTACCTGTGACCGTAGAATTTTTTTTTTTTTTTTTTTTTTTTTTTAAATGCCATCTGTTGGATGTAAGAGCAACACATGCTGTAATCTCCCAAAGTTCTTCAACAATTGCTTTGAAATTGACAACGTTCCATTCGAATATGCGCATCTTTTTATATACCTACAGTATAGATGCCATCCTTGTGGCAGGTAAAAACATGCATTTTTGAAAAACAGCGCCATCTGTTGCACATAATAGCAACATGCACGCTATATGCAGGCGATGAGTCACAATAACGTGGCTGAAGTATGATGACCAGACCACACACTAGAAATTGAAGAGACGACGACGTTTCGGTCCGTCCTGGACCATTCTCAAGTCGATTGTCACAATCGACTTGAGAATGGTCCAGGACGGACCGAAACGTCGTCGTCTCTTCAATTTCTAGTGTGTGGTCTGGTCATCATGCACGCTATACTAAATATGTCAAATTCCATTTCAATTTTTCCGATTGCATCGATAAATTTTATTTTGGTAGGTTTCTTTTTTTTTTTTTTTAAATTATTTTGTGTGACATTGTGTTGGAATTGAGCTGTGTTTTCCATACCATTCATTTTCTAAATATAAGTATATATGCCACACCTGTTACAGGTAAAACTATACATTTCTTGAAAAACGGCACCATCTGTTGCATGTAAGAGCAACACACATGCTATACTACATGTTACAATTCCATTTAAATGTTTCTGATTGCATTGATAAATTGAATTTTCATATTGATTTATTTTCATTTTGATTTAATTATTTAGTGTGAATTGCGTTTGAATTGAGCCGTGTTGCTTACCATACCGTTCATTTCGTGAGTATAGTTTAGTTTTTCTTTTTCATATCTTTTCATTTTTTAACTTTCTTATATTTCAGTGATGGGAACATCAGGTCACTTTATGTTCCCAACTTTCTGATAGGAACCTGAGACCATTTGGGAAGGCATCAGACTTGGGAGTGGGGAATGGTGGGGATGACAAGGAGACGGAAGTGAGAGATGGTGGGGAGGATGAGGGGGACAAGGGAGGGGGTAATGGTGGGGAAGGACGAAGGGACAGGGAAGTTTGGGATGGTGGGGACGAGGGGATAGAGGTATGGAGAATGGTTATCTTGAGATGATTTCGGGGCTTTTTTAGTGTCCCCATGGCCCGGTCCTCGACCAGGCCCTCCACCCCCAGGAAGCAGCCCGTGACAACTGACTAACACCCAGGTACCTATTTACTGCTAGGTAACAGGGGCATAGGGTGAAAGACTCTGCCCATTGTTTCTTGCCGGCGCCCGGGATCGAACCCGGGACCACAGGATCACAAGTCCAGCGTGCTGTCCACTTGGCCGACCGACCTTGGTGGGGACCAAGGGACAGGGAAGTGGGGCATGGTGGGAAGGAAGAGGGGATGGTGGCGTGGGGAATGATTGTGAGGCAGAGGAGATGGGTGAGGGGGAAATGGTTGGGAGGACTGTGGGACAGGGAAGGTTGCTGAGCCACAGTAATGCGTGGCCGGGCACTGCTAGTTATTACATAAAAAAGCAAGCATGGAAGGATGCTCTAATTGTTTAGTGAAGTAATTTAATTGAACAGTAAGGATAAACCAGCCCATCCTCCTCAAATTAAAGTACTGTAATTATTTTTTTTATAATGATGATGTGACTGAAAGTACAAGTATATCATGATTGACCAGCAAAAAGACCGATGAATTTGGATAAATTTGAAAAGCTTATTACTGTATTTGTTGCTAAAGCCCTAATCTAACCATACACTGAGACCCAATATAGTACCCGTGTGCTATAATTGGCCTAGGAATATTTATGTTCGGTTTTTTAATTTATTTTTCCAGACTATAAAAACCAGTACAAAAAGTGGATTACTTGGGCTATATTACCACATACTGATATGATTGACCATGGTTACAAACACTACTATCAAAACAGGAAGAGTGATTGAGAGATACTGTACAATAGAACATTTTTAAATTTTGTACAAAAAATTAAGTGATTTAAAAATTTATCTCTGCACCAAATGGCCATTGTTCAAAATCACATTCTTGTTACTCAAGATATTTAAGTAACTTCAGCAAAGGCATCATTCGGGCCACAGCAGTTACTACAAAATTTCATTAACTTTTGTATTTTCCATATACAGGGTAATCCTATCTCTGACACACTAACATTTAAGTTAATGCCAACCAACATTAATCCATGTTCAATAAGTTACCTGAAAGATAAGCTATTTCATTTACAGCATTTTACAGTAAAAAAAACGTAAAACTTGTCAACTGTATACTAATGCAGCGTAATTAATTATACAAACTTGACAATAAAGCAAGCAGGTATTTAGAAAGTCATCCATACCAACACATAGCCAAGTGACACTAAGGGTTTGAAGTGCCCCCCCCTCATGTGCACATAACGAGCTAGGCTGTCAACAGTGATTTGAAATGGCCAAGGTTCATCTACACATGTGAAGTTGCATGCTAGTTGAGTAATTCCTGCAGCCCATTATCTAGAGTATGAATATCCATGAGTAAAGTGTGAAAATTGAGGCATAGCCTTTTAATCTCACTAATTTTGCATCATGAGTGACATGAATGTTCTAGTTTAATTCTTATTCATGCAATTTGGCATATTGCATGTCAGTAATTATACGTAATAGCATTATGCAAATGTTATAGGCCTACAAAATTAGTTATGGCAAAATTAACAAATGTAATCTATAGTGACAAGGTTTTGATTGTCATTGGCCTACAAGTTCCAAGGCCTATTTGAGCTGGGTTAGTAGTAGGCAGAAGTAATTGAGAGGATTAGATTGTAACTTATGCCCATTAAACCCATATCTGTCGATGAATTAAAGTCTGCCGACACTTTCAACCCAGGCTAGAGATCAGTACAAGCCTAACATGTACTGTATATAATCTGGCTGCCTGTCCCCCCCCCCCCAGACAATTTAATGAAATTATTATATTTATAAGCTTTCCTGTATTTGTTTTTTTTAAATAATTTATAGTGCAAGTTTTGCCAGAGTGAGCATGTACACACTCCAACAACAAACCAATGCAATACTCCTGGAATGTGGTTTAATCTAAGAAAACAAGAAATGTATTGCAGCTCTTGTTTCCCAGAGGTGGCCACGTGTCATGACCCAACAGTCTGGAGGAGACTGCTAACATCTATGAGCGCCGTCAGTGCAACCTGTCCTCCTACGAAGAATGTTGCATTTTGTATGTACAGTATGCTTTACACAAGGCCAAAAATTGTCGTATTAGAAAATGGAAGCAGCTCGCGAAAATGACACTGTCCTGTTTTCGGTTTTGGATCATCTGGCTTAGGTTATAAGAGGACACTTTAAATTGACCATTTCCTTTACGTTGGGAAACCTTAGGAGGACGGGTTGGTCAGTTGTCACGACTTAACTTGTACCCATATTGGTCTACTAGATTCACCTGAATCTACTTCATAAAATATTCACTTTGGTCACAATATGCCTAAGAGGCCCGACAGCTGAGTGGACAGTGCTTCGAATTCGTAGTCCTGATGTTCAGGCTTCGATCCCCAGTGGAGACGGAAACAAAGGGGCAGAGTTTCTTTCTCTCTGATGCCTCTGTTACCTAGCATTTAATAGGTATCTGGGAGTTAGACAGCTGCTACGGCCTGCTTCCTGGGGGTGTGTAACAAAAAGGAGGCCTGGTCGAGGACTGGGCTGCAGACACACTAAGCCTTACAATCAAGATGAGCTCAAGATTGTAACTTAATTTTATTAGTACATTTGTTTTCAGTTTTTTTTACCACTTACATAAAAATTCTTCTGGCTTGTTAATAGCAAAATCTTACTGCTCGAATTAACACTACTTCAGGTCAATTATAATTAAACAACTTGAAACTATAAATTACAGTACTTTATAAATTATAATTTCATAAATGCTATACATTGCACTTTGCCCCTCTTGCATAATCTATTTTCTACGCAAATTCTACATACAGCATAAGTTGAATTACAAAGGCATAATCTTATCAAAAGCAGTACAAGTTGAATTTAAGTGAAAGTACAAGAACTGACCATGTGGGATTATCTAGGCAGGCATAAAATATTTACTAGGCCTATTGAAGAAAGATGGCAGACTCCTATTTAGATTAAAATGAAGATGACATCTGAAAAAAGATTTTGTTTTAAAAATAAATGTGCCCTAAATATGGTGTTACAATGGGAATATGGAGCAGGCAACTCCAGGAATAGGGATTACAAAATGAGTTAGAAAACGAGGCAGGGGAATGATGGCGTCACAGTGGAGTTGGAGAGAGCTGTTGCCGGTGACGCTACACACTCTTGGCTCCACTCCAACAATACCCCCCCCCTCAACCCCGCCCCACCCACCAGCGTGTCCTGTCACCTCCCCCCGCCCCACCCACCCACCACCGTGTCCTGTCACCTCCCCCCGCCCCACCCACCCACCAGCGTGTCCTGTCACCTCCCCCCGCCCCACCCACCCACCACCGTGTCCTGTCACCTCCCCCCGCCCCACCCACCCACCAGCGT